CAACCCCCTCCCGCCCAAAGAAAAAATTGACACAGCTTTTATCATTGAGGAGACCGGCTGCTTCGACTCCAGCTGTCAGAGCTTACCAAAGTACCAAAGCTGACTGGGATACATCAGAATGATGAAGCCACTCGATAAAAAAACCCACCAAAAACACCCTCATGTAGGAATTGACCTCACATCTTCTGCAAGCAATGGTGCAGAGCTTGACTATTACTCAAAAAAAGCCAGTGCATTTATTGATAAATGGTAACAGTATAAGGAAACACATTTACAGTGGCTGAAAAATCAAGCGACTACAGATGTGGTCATTGGTATTGCCAACATGATATACCTATCCTGTACACAATATATGGACACATGCTGAAAAAAAAATTTCAACGGAAACTGAATTCAGGGTAAGTAATAGGTTTTTTTAGAGCATCCAAGGAGAGGTATGAGTGTTGAACCATGGTTGCTTATGTCTGTTTCAGAATAGACAATATTGAAGAAAAAGGACTGAAGTTCCTACATGCCAATTGTTAGCCTACAAATGATAAGCAGCTCCAGACTAGATGATGATATCATAAAAATAACACTGCATCTTTCAGAGTTCCAACTTGACATAATACACTGACCCGCAACCTTAGCTAACGATCCGTTAAATATAATAGAAGCATGAACTCGGAATGAAGCCCCTACTCTTGAGTTTTGAGTTTGACTTAACAGAAGTATATGGACACAAAAACCATCATTCAGAGCTGCGAAAAATATAAGAAACATGGGCCGACACAGTAGTGAGAAAGAAAAGAAGTACAACCTACCAGTAGCACTTCCAATTACTCACGGCCCAGACACTAGAAATGGGGAAATCCATACAGGAGTTGAAGGACTACTTGTTAAAGCTACAGCAAACCACATTAACAAGATCCCGGTCAGTAAGTGATGTAAAGAAAAGAAGAACAGAAAGGCATAAAGGACAGCCATTTACTGCAAGGAACAAGCAAGACAGACAGAAACAACATGGAGAAAGCAAAAAGTTAGTACCTATCCATGGCACTCTTATACCACGAAAAGAGACCATAGACTTCTCCAAGCTCAAGACTTTGAGGGGGCCAACCCCAAAAATGTTCTAAACAAACATAAGCAGTCAAGAAGGTTGACTGAATTTGAAATGTAAGGCCCTCATCACAAGAAATTGGATTATTTACTGAAGATAGAGATATTTGTTGTGGAAGAGTAGAAAGACCTTAATACAAAGGCAACTTTATCACTTCTGCATACCTCATATCTACACCTTGGAATTTATTTCACATACTCCTGCAGACACTTCCCTTCTGTAGGAATAATCACAAACTTCAGCTTTTCTCTTATGGGAGGTTCACGTGCAAACATGAAATGCACTGATGACTGAGTGTATATCTGAATATAATAAATAGTTGTAATAGCTTTTTACAGCATCTTTCATAAAATGGTGTATAAGAAAGCGTACTGACCTACATTGCTGGAGAAGGGTAGACAAGAAAGCCAGTTCACCACGTAAATATGAGAGTAAAAGTAAACTCTAGCACCCCATTCAGCACTTACTTGACCATAATCTCCACTCTTAGTGGAGCCACATTTTGGGTGCTTTTAACCACAAAAGTGGGAAGACAGGGAATAACAACAAGAGGCTAGCCCAGTATAGAGAAAGGTGGAAGGAGTTTGTACGTGGCCTATACCCTGATGCAGAGTGAGAAAGGCAATGATGAACTTATTTTTGAAATGGAGTATCCAGATTTACTTTTACCAGCATGAGTAATCGTTACACAAAGTAGCAGTCGTGAAAGAGAAACTCTGAGATCCAGGGGTGGGCTTCATACACAGACATAGTCACTCTGTCATAAGCTGACAAAACACCTTTCTTTTTTCTTTTTTGGCACCAAGTTTATTTATTTGCTAAATCGAAAGCTTGATCAGTTACCCTATTTTTGTGAGAAAAAAATTAAAGTGAAACTAAGATTTTTTGGGGGAATAAAATAGAATTCAAATTTCGGAAAAACGCCTTTTTTAAAAGGTAACGCTGAAAAAAGCTTCTTTATCTCGAAATTGCTGTGAATAGCCCTTAAAAAGGCATTTTGTCAGCTTACGGCAGCACTGTGTGTAACAGAAAGGTCTTACCTTTACAGGACACCAGTTTGACCTTGAACTTGGTGAGCAGACGACCCAGCTGGTTGCTGATTTCCACAGCTCTGTTTAAACCTTTGTAGTTGAGGCAGTGTTCATGACACCATCGAGAGTTCTGGCCATACTGAAGAAAACCACAGAGTTAAGTTTTCTTTAAATTTGAAAAGACAAGCCCATGACTGTGTGCTGATGAAAATGCAAGACAACACACGCCTAACAAAGGGTTGAGAAAGAAGTTAATCTCAAGTACCTGTTATGAGAAGCCCACAATTGTGCAGGCTGATGAAAAAGCTAGACAGAAACTTAACTAGCCAAGGAATGAAAAAGACGTTAATCCCAAGTACCCATTAAGAGCACTCTCTACATTCCATACAAAACAAAATGTTGAAGTTCAAGTCAATACTTCTTGAGTCCCAACAAATTCACAAAACAGTCCAACCTGCTTTAAGTGCCACCTATCCAAGAGAATCACCTGTACAAACGGCCACTTCTGAAACCCCCTCTCCCCCAACCCCAGCATTATTTTCTATATTACAATAACACTGTCCAAAACGTTGACCTGTTTAAGACAACCATCTTTCTATTTGACAATTGGTGGCTGTCTTGGACAATTTCAACTGTATCTACCTTTGGCGGCCAGTCTAGATTGAAACACTGCAACTGCCTCTTCTATGGGCATACTCTGAGATAGCATACAAGGAATCTTAATATTGTCATTAAAATATTTCAGTCTCATCTGTTGACAAAGTACCCACTAACTGAGCAAAATAGGGTTAGCGAAACAATAAATCAAAGTTGAAAGGAAAAAGGCTATGAAAAGAAAAGAATAATTGTCAAAATAGTTTTGATGCATCCCACTCACTTTGGGCATGACATCCTGTTACAACAAAATGTACATTAAAAAATCAAAGCCATCATGTATTTTAAGGATTAATTTGGTCATTGCACATATCATGGAAAAGTATACATCACAGTCACCTTTTCAATAAAGGCACAAGGAAACATAAATTACCTTGATAAAGCTCTTATACACATTGACCAAAGAGAGGTGATCCCCTTCCATCACAGAAAACTTCCTGCGTTCTTTTTCCTGACGACACAAAGGTAATAGTGCTAAGGATGGGACCACAAAACATTCTTTAAAAAAAGATGTGTACAAAACGATTGTTTCAAACTACACTACCAAACAACAACTTTCAATAATGATATGAGCACTTGGCAAACCGGTGTATTTTTAGCAATGTTTTAAAGAAACGATGCCACCTGTACTTTGCAAGAAACATATTATTGGTGAAACAAATGGATTCGTTCGTATAGTTTACTCAAATTAAAAAGGAGACGGAGTTTCATTTAAGATTTATTGTGCTACCAACATTATCACATTGCAATGGAAGGAAGCTGAGCTTCTACTGTAACAAAACTGGAAAAAAGCAGGAATAAAACACCACAGCTCTCGCCATTTTTCTGCTTTAAAGCTGTTGTACAACAACGAAAAATGAGTTTCCTACGGAATGATGAAAAAATTGCAAAACACAAAGTAAACTTACAGCAGCCATTTTTCTGTCCGATGGAGTCACAAACACATTCTGTATCTGTGTCATAGCACACACAATGAGGGCTTCCTCAGTGCAGCCAAACTCTCCTGTCACAGAAACAATCAGATGACAAGTTTTCTTTAATTGAGCAAACAGAATACAAAAAAACAAAAAAGAAAAAAAGTGGAAAGCGCCTCAACTCGCTATACAAGCTCTACTTGTCTTTAGAAAAAATTCTCTTTTCCCTATTGAGACAACCAAGTTAACATTCTGATTGTAGGCCTACTTTGCAACTTTTCATATAACAACATAAAAACTGAGAAGCAATTGCAATGGTTAGCATCTTTGGTTCTGCGCATTAATCAGAACATGCATGAGATTCTGAATAGGTTTCCACCTCAAAATGAAATGAACCACACACACTTTCCACCTACCTACAGTGAAAGTATTTTTCTATATAACTTGAAGACCTCAATACATTTTCGCTAGTTCGCTGAGGCAGAATATATTCAATATATCTTAATGATTTTGAGAGAAAATATAGCATTTTGGCATATCAATCAAAAAGAAGACTCAGCAATCATATTTCACATCCTTACAGGGAATTTTACATCCATCTTCTTTTTTATCTTTTTCTGTTTGGTTGTATAAACTTGAGTTTGATTGGACATAACAGCAACAAGTTTATTTTTAAAGTCTTGCTCCGCCTTATTGCTACCAACATTGATAAGATAATTCAGTCCAATAGTTCCCTTTGCCTACTTTAAGAATAATTCCTTTACAAATATGATCAAGAAGGAAGAAAAAGTCTGATTTATGCAGACAGAGACAGTACATTGCATCAAGGCTTCTTGTTGTTAAGATGCTACTGTTTTAAACCTTAAGTACAGCCTGTCCCACCCGTGTAATTCTCGGGGCCCTGTTCAAGAGACAGGGGAGCAAAGAATAGGATCACTGTATCCGTACCGCGCACGTCGTAGAAGGCGACAAAGGTTGGTAGGGCAAAGAGTTAGCAGCCCTTTCCCGTAAAACAAAAAAAGCAGCTACATAAACATCAACAGCAAAAACAACACGACCACCAGTTCTGGAACATGGAGGAGAAAAGGATGAACAGGACAGGCTTCGATGGAGAAATGTTGTTGATGTCCTATGTTCTACAGGGAGTTAAAAAGGGTAAGAGAGAGAGAGACAGCCTGTCCACAGGGACATATCAACAGGACACAGGGCCCAGTAGTCTCATAAAGAGCTGAACTGACCTGAAGAAAGGAGCATCTTTGAGAAGGATGGTGACAAAGGGAATTCAACCATTTGTAGACCAAGCGGGGAAGTCAAATTCCCAGCATCATCAATGGCTGGAGAGAAAAATAAATTTTAATAAATACATCCTTCATACCATATGCATACCAAAAACCTGAACAGGAAACCTGCTCTAGCACATTTAACTGCGATCTCATTGAAAAATTTCAGTCACATAAGAAAGCAGGCCACAATAAGCTACATACTTTGACGACTATTTAATCCCAGTATACACTCGATCTGCATTACATCCTTCATACATGAAAGTTTATTGGAAACCGATCAAATCAAAAACAACAAAAAAGTTCTCACAATTAGCACTAGAATATCAAAAAGTTAGAAAAATTTTAAAGAATAAATCATCGTGACCTCATACTATTTGATAAAATGATTCTTTTTAAAACAGCTTCCTCCCAGGCTTGGCGCTCATTAGACCTTAAGCAGTTGCGAGCGCCGTAAAACCTTACTAAAACAAACGTACCTCCCAGGGCATACAGCAGCTCCAGTCCCCTGACCATGTTCTGTGCAGGGGGAGGCTGAGGACATAAAGATATAAAGAAAGAGTTACCCCGTTGTTATCATGAATGCACTCACTTGTGGTAAATATAATGAACTCCCATCAACAAAGAGAGGTCTGATATTGAAACAATTCTTCATTTCCTTGAATACCAGCATTGAAAAAAAAAAAAGCGAAAAAATGTCTAAATAGAAAAAAAAAAACCATTAGAATAACGTTAATCATATTCGACAAAGCCAAAAATAAAATCTCAACTCTTTTGCTTGTTCACTTTCATTTGTCCACGGTAAAAAATTCAAGCTCATTTATTAATTCACCTGTGCCCACGAAACTTTGCATGGCACTTTTGCAGGCCAGCAACCAAATAAAAATATTTTTTCTAAAAATCTTGAGCCAGTAATAAAAAAGTTTTTCTCATTAAGCCCTATATCAAAAACTGCTCTTTCAATGCATACACAAGATCCCATAATGAATGACTTACCAGTAACCTAGCCTACAAAATGCTCACTTCGAAACAGCGACACCACCTTGCCCCCACACTTCAGTGTAAGCTTGTAGATTTCATCCCCCTACTGTCTAGGCAGCTCCACGTGCTCCATAAGAGTCTAAAAAATTACTTACTCTGTTTTGATTTGTGTTTCTTGGGTGGACATTAAAATGTGGTGTTGAGGAAATTATGTCAGCTTTTTTAATATTTTAGGTCTATGCTGCAAATCCCCCATTATTTTTTTTACCTGCTTTAGGCTAACATCAAAGAAAACATGTCGAAACTTTAGTTTGCAGTGACCTTTATAAGAAAGGCTTTTAATATCTCTTGTTCATCCAACTTTTAGACCCGTATGCAAAGATCAGATAAGATTGAACAGAGTGATTTCATTTTACTTTGTTTTAACAATGGTCAGACAAAAGTGAACAAGCTATAGTCAACATAACCCAAAACAAATTTCATAATAATTGTCAAGCAAGTGAAACTATGTCTGACAGGCTTATATTGAAAGTGTGAACAAACAGAATATTTATTATAGAATGTTCACACATATCACGTTAATATCATAAAAATACCACAGTATTTGGGCTTGAAGGAGTATTTGGAGTTCACACTTGCACCTGAAGTTTTGGCATTCCTTCATCAAACTTTCACATGCAAGCGCGAAGAATTAAAAAGGTAATAATGGAGTGACAGGAATAAGCAGCCTTCAGAACCACATTTCCTGCATTACTGAAAATAAACTGTTACCTGTATATGCTGGCTAAGGAGAAGGACAGAAAAACTAAATTATCCTCCCCCCCCAAAAAAAAAAAAATATTTTGAAAAATCAGAGAAAAAAGTAAAAACATAAAGTAAGGAATTAAACAACCATTAAAAAAGAAATTAAAAGATATCTGTGATTAGAGGTATGTCCTTAAATCGAACAAACATTAAACAGGAAAATAATATATAAACAAAAGATTGGGAAATAAGAGGTCTTAGTCTAGTCTGCAACCTACAAATAAGACATTCGAAAGAAAAAATAAATAAATACAAAATTGTTATTACAATGTCACTTACAGACATGAAGTGGAATCTGAGCACATTGGCAATGCCAAGAGCTTTGAGCTGTAGAATGACGGGAGCCAGGTCGCTCCTCTGCATCTCTGGGGCAGTGGACACTGGCAGTTTGTCAAACTCTTCCTCTGGAAATTAAAAAACGTTTTCAGACATAGGAATATTCTGCAATATTCTTAGTTATATGGGAGGCATCATGGTGAAATCAGGCACTTGTCAAAATTACCAATTTTAAAAAACTAGCATTTTTCTGGCTGTTGAGCAATTTTTTTCCGATTCTTCTTTTATTCACTGAACAGTCCTTCATTATTATTACAGTAATATCCAGTCATTTCACCTGTGTACAGCCTGTAGGCTTTGCCCGCTCTCACTCTGCCTGCTCTCCCAGCCCTCTGGTTGGCTGAGGCTTGGGACACAGGAATGATCACCAGAGACTCTGTAAACGACAAAATAAGTCAGTCAAAGCCACAGCCCAGAAAATTACAACACTCGCTCAATCATTTGCCAGCACCACTGGCAATAGAAATTAACCTCTGAAGTAACAAAGGCGTAGAGAACAAAGACAAAACATATTTCTTTTTCAAAGACGTTCATCACAAGAATAACCCATACCTTTTTTAAAATAATTTCACTGGTACACTGACTTTATGAAAACTATACACACAATAAAGATGAGTATCTAAGTAGTCCTACAATGGATTCCTGCCCACACTGGGATACCGGGAAATGAAAGAGCTGATGCTCTGGCAAAGAAAGGAGCTAGTCTCCCTCAGCCTGAAATTCCTACGAATTACACCACCTGCTGCCAAATGATCAAGTCAAACCTCAAGGAAGAGTGGATGAATGATTGGGCCACAGGTACGACAGGAAGGAGGATGTATGGCCACATGAATAAACCACTGGTCAAAGATCCAATCAATGAGTTGAGGAGGGGAGATCAATCCATAATCTTCCAACTTAAAACACAACATGTACCCCTCAACCAACATCTCAACCAAATTGGAGTAAAGCAGTCTGCTGCCTGCCCACTATGTGACTACCCCTCAGAGACAGTGGAACATCATCTGTTCTTCTGTAGAAAACTGACTGATTTAAGGGGATGTTTTCTTCCCAAGCTACCCCACACATCTAATTGCCTCTACTCCTCAAGACAACAGTTAGAACAAACATGCAACTATTACCGAATGGCATCATGCAGATGAGTTAATGCTCAGATGCTACTGGATCGCTAACAACAACAACAACAACAACAACAACCTTTTTTAAAAATAATTTCACTGGTACAGTGACTTTATGAAAACTATACACACAATAAAGATGAGTATCTAAGTCAACAGGTTGGTAGGTTTAGGTTCTACACTTTTCCTTTACTGAAATCTGAGAGGAAGAGTGGATAGATATAATATCAAGATAAAATCACTCACCTCTTTGACTAAGATGGTGATTTCTTCTCCTTTTATGTTGTTAGCTACCAACGCTCCTTTCAAGGTGTGAAATAATCAAGACTTAGCTCTTGTTGTTTTTGACAGGGCGTTAAATTATGTAAAGAGCAGAACGACATAGTATGATATTTACACAGTTTTAACTCTGATTCATTCTAAAAATAAAAAAGGGATTTCTCACATTGGACAGAGAGTGGAATCATTTCACTCACCTATGCCAGATTTTGGATTGTATGCCTTCAACTTGACGAAACCTGTATCAACAACTGAAATGAAACCGATGGTTAAGTTTAGATCACTGGTGCCACAAAAAAAATAACACCAACTACTTAAGTTCCGAGTGAAAAGTTTTAGAAATCAGAAATTTCCCACTTGAGGCACCAAAAAAACAATAGGAGACTATCTCTACTACTAATGTCTTGCATCTCGCTGTAAGCCAAAAATAAAATCTCAACTCTTTAGCTTGTTCACTTTCATTTGTCCACAGTAAAAAATTCAAGCTCATTTATTAATTCACCTGTGCCCATAAAACTTTGCATGGCACTTTTGCAGGCCAGCAACCAAATAAGAATTTTTTTTTTTTTAATCTTGAGCCAGTAATAAAACAGTTTTTCCCTTTAAGCCCTATATCAAAAACTGCTCTTTCAATGCATACTGAATGACTTACCAGTAACCTAGCCTACAAAATGCTCACTTCGAAACAGCGACACCACCTTGCCCCCACACTTCAGTGTAAGCTTGTAGATTTCATCCCCCTACTGTCAAGACGGCTCCACATGCTCCATAAGAGTCTCGAAAATTACTTGCTCTGTTTTGATTTGTGTTTCTTTGGTCGACATTAAAGTGTGGCGTTGAGGAAATTATGTCAGCTTTTTTAATATTTTAGGTGTATGCTGTAAGTCCGAATCCAAGAAAAATTATGAATATTCGGACCCTCAGATGACACGTCGGTCTTAAAAATCTCTACTTTGAAAATATGTGTGAGCCAGTGTGGTAAAATCAGGCGCTCGTCAAAATAACCAAATTGAAGAAACTGGCAATTTTCCATAGGTTTGTGAATTTTTATTGAATATTCGTTTTTTGGCTCAACACCTTTCAAGCCCATTAAACAACATATTTCTGTGTTGACTTTACTGAAAAATGTTGATTAAAGGCACAAAAAATGTAAATTTTCAGTTTCCACAGACTTTCAGGCGAAGGAAATAACTCATCATTGGCGGCCATTTTCTCGCTAATTTTACCCGTGAAACCAGGTGACCCCCACCTCCTTCAATTGCAAGTATCCCGACTTCTATTCATGATAGATGAGTATTTTTCCCACCAAAAGCAAGACAAATGAACAAGCTTCAAAATGATACCAATAACTCCAAAGTCCAAAATTCGACGAGCGCCTGATTCTATCATGTCGTGACAAATATTTCATTTCATTAAAAATTCAGTTTCAGTAATTAATTGAACAAAAAATCCACAAAGATGCTTTTAATATAAGTGTAGGGAACGATTTTATCATATTTTATGAGAAAAGTAAAAATCCTTGAATAGGGACTACATACACAAAATATAACTGCTACTCACAAGAGCTACCATGAATCATGGCAACAATCTTCAAAATACCATTTATCTAACGCCTGTCAGTCAGTGAAATCTTTCTCAGAAATACATTAACCATCTTAGCACCATAAATAAGTCAAAGGTCAGCACAGCAGAACCAAAATGAAGAATCATTTCAGTGTTTTTCAGAGGTTCTTGGGGTGTAGCAAAGACATTGCTTTTGCTTTTGACCTTTAGAAGCGACGTACTTACAGTGAAATTTCACACAGAGAGACCAAAGACGTCAGCATCTAAATCTAGAGTGGAATGTTTTTATTTCTAAGCTTGCACTAAAGGCGGGAGTGCAGGCTGATAAAAACAGGTATGGCTCTACAGCTGGTAAAAGGCGGTATGGCAACATGATGGGAAGGCCGGTGTAGGCCGGTATGGCTCAAAAAGGGTTAAATACATTTACAAGTCAAAACATATCACTAGCCTCGTGATTCAACCGCCTAAGTGCCAAGAGACAAATTTTTCAGGAGAAGCAAAAAACTTTTTTATTTCTTTATGCTCGTACCTATGAAGCTGAAAGTCAGATATTACGTATAATATGATGTAGGATGATGGTATGTAACTAACTTAAAAAAGAAAACGCTTTCTTACATAAGTTACTGGACATAGGTGGTTTAGACCAGCGTGATTCAACTGCCTAAGTGACAGTATGACTGCGTCTAGGCGTTTGAATCACGTTAATCAAGGCCATTCACCCTAAGCCTATGATCGCTTGAGGGTTTTAGTTATCGACAAAAACAAATCATAATAAATGTAAGAGTAATTATAAAGTGAAGAGAAATTATTTCAGATTTGGTTGGGTTGGGTCTTGTTGGGCAGGGCTGTTTTTGGCAACATGGAGTTGGAAAAAAAGACCGTTCATCTTAACGTTTAATTTGTACTGGATGTTTTTGTTCAGATGCGGTAAGCTAGGAACCATGAAGCATATTTTGTCAAACTGCAACCTAGCTCTTAACAGATACACCTGGAGACACAACGAGGTGTTGAAAGTGCTCACGAAAATGGCGACACAACAGGTGGAAGAAGGAAAATATGCCCCCAAGATACAGAAGCATGGACCCACCAAGATTGCGTTCGTTCCGCAAGGAAGCAAGGTTGCCAAAAGAAAGAAAACGAACGAAGCCATGAAAGACCAGAGCGGAGGCACATGGGAAGTAGCTGCTGACTTAAAAGGCTTTGAGAGATTCTTCCCCATTCCAACTACGAAAAAGCCAGACATTGTGTTATGGGAGGAAAAAGACAAAGAGGTACACTTGGTAGAGCTCACGGTGCCCCACGAGGACAATATCTATGCCGCTCATGAGCGGAAAGAAAACCGTTACGAGGCACTCGTCGAACAATGTGAGGAGGCAGGATGGAAGGCAACCCATTTTCCGGTAGAGGTAGGATGCAGAGGTTTTGTAGCAACAAGCGCCCGTAAGTGGATGAGAGTGGCAGGACTTACTGCAAAGAAAAGCAACGAACTCACAAACTCCCTTCAGGAGACAGCAGAGAAAGCCAGTCATTGGATCTGGTTGAAGCGAGAGGACTCAAGCTGGAATGAATCCTAAAGTTGGCAGCAGAGGAAAACAGTCGAACTAACATGGAGACCTCACATCGGTGAGGGGGCTCGGTGCGTCAGAAAAGCTGTAGAGAGGAAGAGCCCGAAACAGCGACGCATTCTCTCCTGATGATCTCCATGCTAGAGTCCGGGATACGGAGCGTTCGACGGTGAGCAGTGCATACGGCTGTTTAGACTACGTACAAAGGCAACGAACATTAGAGACAACGGGGTCGTTTTTGTTTCAGCCAGGTCTGAATGGTCCGGAAATCGAACATCAAAGGGGGGTGGGGAGGGACGTTCACTTACTGTAGGTAATCCCTGGAATGGTGATAGATGTTTCGGCAATATTGGTGGCAACCACAATCTTCCTTGTATATTTTGACGTTCTTTCAAACACTTTCATCTGTGAACATGGAAAATAGTCTTTAAAAAAAGTGTAAAGCTTTTGGGTAGAAAATTAGATACAACTCTTGCAATAGTTTCTAAAAGCATAGTACATAACATGAGCATTCATATAATCAAATAATATTCTCATAAGGTAATTAAATTTTCCACACCTGTTCAGCCGCAGGTAAACTACCATGCATGGGCAGGACACGCATCTTCATAGAATCTTTTTTCAGTTTCCTTGCCTCAGATCTGAAGAAAGTAAAAACAAGCATGTTTCAGATGTGTACTATGGACACATCAAACCGTCTGATAACTCATTCATAATTTTTACAATTTTTTACTCTTTGCTCAAGCTTCTCAAAGCCAAAATTTTTATAAAAATCTGCAAAGATTTAGTAAGGATTTTCAGCACTATCCGACCCACTTACATTAACAAGAACCTTCAATTTGAAAGTTGAACTCCAAAAGGAACAAACAAACCATACCAGTGTAGAGACTCCTTAAACAACGAATCAGGTCACCCACACCAGGTCCACCATGATACCATTTAAGCTAATGACATGCCCATCATAAGAGCAAGAGCAGACAAGTGCCTCTAATTATGGCCAGATTGCCTCTTTAGTGCACAGCTGAAACAAATGACAGCCCAGTAGTCATGAACATCTTCTCTGATATCTTGGTTTCTTTCAGGCATTACCAAACAAGCGTTACACAAATTAGATAGAAACATATTGACAATCAACTATACTACAATGTCCTTGTAGCTAAAGGAAAATAAACAGTCCCATTGTCCGAACAAACTAAGGCAAACAACTCCCCTGCTAGAGGACGGTTATCTCATACAACTGCTACAGGTGGGACAGCTGACTATTTACATCCTCCAGCCCTGGAGTTTAGTTTTAGTAAGAGTTTTAGGGCACTTGCAATGCAATAAGGTCATATAAAAGCCGAAGATTAGAGGTGTTACAAGAGAGTAACATACATAAAAAAGAAGGAGAGATAAGGACGATAGATGTTTGATAGGAAAGAAGGAGTAAACCACACCAGAGCACCTGCCAACAACCCACATAAAGAACACTGCTAAAAACTGTTTTCCCATTGACTTAGAAGCACAAGGAAGAGATCGCTAATTTGAATTACTCTAAAATCGTAAGTCATAATGCGGTAGCACACCAAAAAAAGTTTTTCTACTTACATTAACTGTGACACGACATCATCTACTTCATTCTGAAAAAAAAAAGGAAACATTTCAATACAAATGCTCCTCTAGTCAATGATTATACATTCACTTAACCACTAAATTCAACTCTATGCAGTCTAAAAATTCATCATCATTCAACCAGCATCCAACTTTATTTAACACAAAACAAAAGATTTCCTGAACTTACTGAGGACAACAGATTTGTCATATAAGTGACAATACCAACAATTCAATGTATCACAAAGTGTGGGTTCATTACACAACATAACTTTCTTTTCAAAGCAGGCCTTCTTTATTTATTTCCACTCATACAATACAGGGTTTTTTTCCTAAATACAAACTCTAGATACTGGTGCTTGAAGGCATTGTCATAGCAATTATATTAGAGAACCTAATACACCAATCAAATTGAAATTATCAAACAAATGATAAAAGTGCGTTAAGTTGACTTGAATTTAAAAAACATATTACATCTTACTTCATATTTGGAGCTTTATTTCTATCATTAAAAAAATATATATAAAACAGCACATTTCACTCTGCACAGATTTCCTGTTAGGAGTCTTGGCCAGTAACAGATAGGAGAACTAAGTTTTTGATGTTCATTTCACATGGGCAAGATAAGGGAGGTACTCAAGGACCACATACGGAATTTGGTTTAAATGACACTTAAAGCTCTTGCAAAGTATCACACTAGAAACCTGTTCACATCTTTAACAAATTACATTTCACTTCAATCAATTTTCTTATTTCATTTTCAAATTGTCACATTTGATACACAAGCAAATCTCTGTAGTCGATCCAATAACCTTTAGCCATGTCATTCAACCCAATTTGAAACTGAGCAAGAATGTAAATTTGACACCTCTAAAAAGCAGTTCATATATCGTGCAAAATGATAAAAGTAAAAGGTATTTCCTGCCACCATCCCCCAGCAAGCCTCATCATCACTGCATACACCCCACCCCAAATGAGAAGCAAAATGATGTCAGTTTAATGAGAACTTACCATGCCAGTGAGAAAAACAATAATATCTCCAGGTCTTTCATTGAAGTGTATCTTCATAACTGTCTCCACTGATGCTTTGATGTAGTTTGGCACGGGACTGGAATAAATTAAAAAGCAAACAGAGTCACTGAAACACAATAAGAAACCTCATTCTTAGAATACTAAAGTAGCTTTAAGCAACTGATAAAACATTTAAAGGCTGAGTAGAAAAAGGGTACTGTAAACCAAACCCATTCATTAGAATTGGGAAATCCCACAGTTGGACCACATCAGTATGCCTGAAAATCCTTTTATCACAAAAAATGTAACTTATTTCATATATTTCTTACATATACAAGAAAAAAAAATTAGGAAGAAGAAGACAAATTATATAACATCCGGGTTGTGTCGGCTTTCACATTTCAAATGCAGTAGCTCCTTAGCCGGCACATTAATAAGATAGGATAAAAATTCTCCACAGGGACAATAAAGTATTATCTTATCTATTTAAGATGTCAGTAAAGGAGTTTGAGTACTTGAAAAGAAAAAAAATTATGCAACTGGATATCTGCTAAAAGCATAAAATCTAATTTAATCCTTTATGTCTCCTCATTACTACCTCCATCTCTCAAACCACCAATCCTCCAAATCCCACAATATTTTCCAAACTTACTCTAGTGCGTAATGAACATCAACAGGGTACTCTCTTCCCTCAACAGTCAATATTGCTGCTGTGTCCTTCCTGAGGGAAAAAAAAAGGTTTACTGATGCGCTGCTTCTCCAGAAGTCAGGCTCTCGCTATATACATGTAACATTCTGTTTAAAAAATCTGTCAAAATTATACTGGCCAAATGATTTATCCTGCTAGCCAATGTAGCACTGGGGGCTTTACCAAATCAGTAACTCTTATATATATATATAAAGTTAGGTAAAAGTGTACTTGAGCCCTCCATTGGGTGGGGAGGGGCTCAAGATTACTGTTACCCAAAATTGTTAATTGTAATGTGCATGAAAACATTTAATTCTTAGCACAACAATATCAAAAATATCGAAAGTACATCAAGCAATAGATAACGGAAATTTTTTTCAAGAAGGCTCTCAAATAATACAGCAGCTTTCATTTACTACTAGCAACTGATAAAAAGGTTCAGCTTTAGGGGATGGAAACAGTATCACATGACATGGAAGACAAGGGTGATGGTTCTTAGGGAATTAGGAGTTAGAGTACTTGAAAAGAAAAAGACTTATGCAACTGGACATCTGCTAAAAGCATAAAATTCAATTTAATCCTTTATGTCTCCTCCCTCTCATTACTACCTCCATCTCTCAATCCATCAATCCTCTTACCTATTGTAATCCTAGCCTTTCTCAGAGTCAGTTCCTTATAGTTTCACTAAATCATAAGAAAGTGTAAAAAGAAAAATCTTTGTTCACGTCATCACCACCACTCCAACCCCCTCCTTTCCCCTAAACTGCTGTCTCCATTTTGATCAACACCACCCTGATATCCTTTTTCTCTAGACGAAAGACTTCCCTGACATCTCTTTATACGTATTCATTCTTCACTAAAACGATTTTATGAATATATCGAGCCTGCAGATCTTTGTTCCTATAAAGAGTACCCAATCACAAGCAAACCCCATAACAGTTTATACAGACTGTCACAACATTGGACAACTATAGCACACTTAGCAGTGTGGACAAAGCTTCAACTTACATACAGACATGCTATTTTTCTAATAAACCTCATCTATCATAAAGACATGCTGTATTTTTAATAAACCTCATCTATCATAAAGACACGCTGCTTTTCTAGTAATCCTCAACTACCATAAAGACATGCTGCTTTTCTAATACGTCTATACACAGAGACTTACTCTGGGTCATCTGTTTCATTCGTGTTGAAGAAGTTTCTCATTTCCTGTACATGAAAGATTATTCAAAAAACAATTTTTAATAAAAACCCTTTACAATTTTTTTCTTATCCATCACTGTACAGTGTAATAAAAACATATATTACATACATATTATGGTGTCGATAGTCTAGTGGTGAAGCTATCTGACTCGTAATCGTGAGGTTGTGGGTTCGGAGGTTTGAGCTTCAGGCCCAATGGTGTATCCATGGGAAATGCACTTTACACTAATTTCCCTCACTTCACCCAGATGTTAATGGGTACCCAGCCACAGACAGTGAAAGATCTTGTCAGTGTGTTAGTGTTTTAGTGCTTGTAAAATGGAAGCTAATATTGTATGCTTCCCAAGAAGTTAAGATTGTTTCAGAATGCTATCAGGTCTGCGGGGGAAATAAAATACATTGTAAAGCGCATAGAGCTTTCTGTTGAGTTGGAATTTGAACTATGCAAATGCTTTCCATTACAATCATGTATGGACAAGTATTCAAAGAGTAAAATAAGTAAGTCCAAAAGAGAATTGATATATAATCAAAATACAGGATGAAAGAATATGTAGACGCCTTATGTGCATCTTTAGGCCACAATTCGGATAAAATCCTTCAAAGCTATATTTTTGAGTAGTTGGGTTTTTTCTTTATTGCTTTTTCTGATTGTTTATGTTTGTTTGATCATTTTTTGTTGTTGTTGGGTTTTTTTGTTTTTTTTCAGGGGGAAGGAGGGGGATTTCAACATTATAACACCAATGTAGACCCAAAATAGATGGTTTTACAGATGGATTACGAGACACCAAGCTGAGAGGATAACTTTACATGAGGAAAGAGAAAAATTTGAGGGCTATTCAGATTCAAGAGTCAAACATCTCCATTTTGGAAAAATTATGTACCAGCTTATCTGTTTAAACAAAAATCAATATTACATCATCTTCTCCTTAGTCGCCAGCGGGGAGTGAATAGAAAAGGAAAATGGTTCGGTCATCTAAATAACTAATTTACCCAATACTTACTTCAGCATCCAAAGTGGCAGATGCAACAATCAATTTGAGATCCTTCCTTTTTTTTTGTATCTATGAAGAAAAACAAAAACAAGGATAATTAGTGATAAATGTATGACAATCTTACAAATGCAAAGAGCAATGTCAAATAAGGTTAAAAAAAAATTATCATGAGCTGATAACATCACAGAAAGAAAAAAACCTCAAATACTCAATTAAAATAAACCAGCATAAACATTTGAAAATATAGACAAAAAAATTCAGATACAGTAACTATTACTCTTGTGGGTTGTTAAAGGTTATCGCAGTAGGCTACTGTTGACAGACTTAGAATAGAGAACCTGATGCCGGTACCTATCCAGTACCAGTACCCAAACTCTAGTGCCACTAAATGACACCGTTTACAGCTGTACCAGGAGTATAGTGCTTGCCTTGGCCTTGCAACATTACACTGGGGAGGGGCAAGGGGAGTTTGTTTGTTTTAGTAGAGGTGTTACGGCGCTCGCAACTGCATAAGGTCATATGAGCGCCAAGGGGTGGATGTCAACAGAGAAGTCCTTACAGGGAATCAGACATACTCTGCTCTCCTCTCTTGCTTTGACAGCACAAAGTCTGCTTCCATTTACAAGGCACCCCGGAATGTGACAAACATACAAAAGAAGTAGAGGAAAAACGACAATGGTAAGGATTAGCAAAGAAAAAGCAGCAGTTCCCTGTTGTAGTGCAGGCACAGTTATGAGCGTGACCTTGTTGAATCAGTCCATTTACAATTCTACTTTGCATAAGAATGAGAATGTCCCCCCTTTGGGAATGGCCTAAAGACACTTCAGTCAGTGGCACCGCCCCGGGGGGAAGGAGGGGGGGAGTGGGACTGAGGGGTACCAGCAAAAAGGCAGAGAGACTGACAACAACCACAACAGTACCAGCAACTAGAAGACACGGCAATACTTCACAGGTGGCATCACTGCTGAGACCAAAGCTCACACACAGCCAATGTCAATTTGAAAAAATATGGTAAAGAACCCAACATTAAATTTGATGAAGAAAGAGAGACAAAGCAGCCTCCTTTATTTCGAGATACAGATCTGTGGCACAATAGAAAATGAAAACACAAGATGTAACACAAAATAAGGCTCTGAATGTATTGTCTGTGTAGTTCTCTAAACAACTAACTCCAGAACATGTTATTTTTTCTTGCTCTTTTCAACTAAGCAGGAGATTCGCCTTCATGCATGTGAAGATCATGAAGCTTTTATCAAGAGGATAAAAATGTAAATATAATAAAGTAATGAAACCACTAAAAGGCAGAGCAACTGACTGAACAGAAAATTCTTGTTTCTGCCTCTCCTGACAAATTTCTTTTGATGGCAAACCAGGTTTAAAGAATAATACTGACAATATGCCAGTTAGTACCTACCTTTCTGAGCAGTCCTAATATGATGTCAGTGTTCAGAGCACGCTCATGTGCTTCATCTAGTAGAATTATACTGAAATACAGAAGGTTTAAACACATGAATACAGTGCATTGGTTCTCAGAACAACAGTCAGTCACAGCTTATTCCCACTGTTAACCAAAAATTAGCATGCTACCTTTCACTTCACATTAGCAACAATGAACTTTACGTTTTAATATATATTCTTATGAGTTTTACTCATATTCACACTTCTGCTGCATAATTTCCAAAAATGAGGGTTCTCTCTTTACGTGAATCAATCAAAGTTTCACTTTCGTGTTTTCTTTTATTCAACTCCACAGCAAAACTTATAAAATTCCAACAACAAGCATGCCAACAGTCGCATAAATCACCATGGCAAAGATTATAAACTCAAGAAGGCCAAGGGACTCTAGACAGATGGGGACAAAAATTGACATTTCATTAGTCATCACACATGAAGGACACACTTATTTCCATCATCATTAACAATAAGTCAATATTTTAACTACTGGATAAAAATTATCTGAAATTATCTCCACCCTCTTCCCCACTCCAAAAATATTTGTTTTTTAAGTAAAAAATAAAAACCTTACAACAATTATATGACAAATATAGTCAAAACTGTCTAACACAGTCACCCGTTGTCAAGGATGAAAGTTGTCGTCTTAGACAGGTCACCGTCCAACATGGTATCATTACAAGGTAAATAATATGCAAGGGAGGAAATGGGAAGTGGCCGTTTGTACAGGTCTTATACAGGTGGCCTTTAGAGCAAGTTCGACTGGATTTGATCCTTCATCTAGCCACCCATAAGAAGGAAATTCCAGCCCTTTTCATGACAAACATCTCTCAACACGGCCAACAACCTGTACTTCTGTAGCAGCGGATCCTTCATGATTTCTCTGATCATCATGCCATCTGTCATAAACTGTTTGAGGATGAGAAAAGAACAAAAATCAATCCAAATTTACAGGAGAAAACAAATCAAAGTGACATGAAATATTATATATAAACATTACGTTTCTTATCACATGATACTTATCTATGACAATGTCTGAGTGCCTGACTTGCCTTCTGACCGTGGACCTCTTAGTAAAGGCACAACGACCCAGGACCTTTCTCACTTGGCCGAAACCTCATGCAAGAGTAGACAACTATAACCAGTAGCCATTGGTGGCGGGGAATGGGCAACATGAATCCTACCGGAATTACACGGTCACAGGGCAGTTAGGTCTTTCCAGCCTCATGAAAACCCTTGCACCACGTATCCTCAACGTGCATGGCCCCTTCTCAGGGTGGGCAGGCAGTCCACAGACATCCCAGTCCTCAATGCCATGACTGGATCGATAACAACAACATGACAATGTCTGGATCAAAAACAACAACAGCCTGGGTCGATGACAACACACATGTGAGGCATTGCGGTGAAGTCAGGCACACATTGTGACACATATGACAATGTTGTCCCAGCCCGTGAGACATATTGTATTTACTTGGCCTAATGTCCTGTCTTGTTGTGCGTTTGCGTGAGTGCACCTTTAAGTCTAACTTTTGTAACGTC